GGAATAGAAATAATGTTTCTTATAACATCCAGAAGATACAAACAATTTGTAAGACAAATTTTTACATCATTATTTAAAGCTAGATAAATAGTCCCAATTGCTTTGGCAGCAACTTTTGCTCCATTGCCCATCCTTAGGATTGTTTTTCCATCTTCTAACTTATTACTTCTTGCCATCATCTGCAAATCATTGCTAATATGTGAACCACAGCCGGTATCCAATACCCAAGAAGAATCATTAACTGATAAGTTAACTTCAACAAAATAAATACCTGAACTTTTCAGGCTTGCAAGATACTCCTTGCAGTTCCTCTTCCAATGCCCAGTTTTACCACAATGATAGCATTCATGATTAGACTGAGAATTAACCTTCTCTTTGTTCTTCCCTTTGTTGTTATTTTCCTTCTTGTTGGGTTTATTGGAAACCTTTCACTTTCCCTTCCTTTTCTTAGATTTTAAAGCCTCTAATCCAGAAGTGGATCCAACAAGAAGCACCGGCTTATCCTTTTTTATTGTGGATTCATCCGTCTTTAACATGTTCACTAATTCTGGCAGAGAAGTCTCCATATTATGCATGTTAAATTTAACAACAAAGCTGTCAAATGACGATGGCAGAGATTGCAGCATGAGATCCACATAGAGTGCATTATCCATAATGACTCCAAGAGACGAAAGCCTTTCAACAAGAGCTATCATCTTTAGCCCATGGTCATGAACTGAAGAGCCCTCAGTCATACGACACCTGAAAAGCTCCTTAGATATCTGATATCTAGTTTGCCGCGTCCTATCACCATACAACTCTTGTAGATGAAGGAGGATTTCAGAAGCATTATTCAACAATTCGTTCTGTCTCAGTAACTCATTTGACATTGATGCTAACATGTAGCATCGAGCCTGGAGATTGTCATCAGTATGACGTAAGTATTCTCCATACTCATCAGATGTCTGATCCTCGGGTGGAGGAGGAGGGGCTTTGTCCAATACATAGTCCCTTTTTTCAGACTGTAGAACAATTTTCAGGTTCCTCAACCAATCATTAAAATTGGGTCCAGTTAACTTGTTTTGTTCAAGGATACTTGCAAATGGATTCTTAGCCATTTTAGTAGAGTGATCTACAAAAACAAATGAAGCAGAAAATAATCAGACTATGGAATTTATATTCATTTAATATTAGGTCTTTATAATTAAATGTCTCCCACTATTTTAATTAAAACCCTATTTTAATTATGAAAATCTAATTTCCATAGTGGGCTTGAAGTCCAATAAAATTATTCCATATCCCAATTTTATGAGTACTCATAAAACAATTATATCGGTAGTTAACTTTTGACAATTGTATCAATATACAACCTTCAAGATATTTTGCCTCACTTTTCCTTATATACCTCAATTTTATGACGTATATATTACTAAGTGTCAAATCAAACCCATCAAACATTCATGATAGTGGCCCACCAGAATATCCCACGACTCATTGTCAACATAAAGAGGAATCCACCTCACGAGTATCACAATATTTAGTAGGGATCACAGCTTTCGACACAAAACCACCCCACGACTCATGGTCGGTGATAAAGCATCGTAGCATCTCATGTCGTCTACTTTTGATGGAATGCCTAGATTAATAATTTCCAACTTATTTTTATCCATTAATGATTTGATATAGAATTAATCAAATTAATTCTTTAGGATTCCTTAGATCTCATCAATTACCATCTTTACGTGTGTTTATCTACCGCATTATTCATCGCATGAATCACAAGCATAAATAAACCTAACATACATCTAATGCATGCATACGGTGGGATGATCATGACTGATATAGCCATACTGTCATATAGCGGCTTACGATGTCCCGGTTCGAATATCGAGTCGACTTACCCTAAGTCGACTCCTCCCACATATCTCCTCATAATGATACATCCGACCGAAGGTCCGGATGCTTTTCTTAGTCGACTTCTATCCTGTCGACTAGATTCAAGACGATTCCGTCCGGAAGGATAAATAAGTGTATTAGGGTCTACTAGCGAGTGGGGGATGACCCAGCTGGATCGAAAGCAAGGATGTCTCAAGTCGACTGAAGTAGACTCGGGACTCTCGGATCCCCGACGACTCTTATACACTTCAGTATATCAGAAGGAAGCTACTAAGGGATAAGGAAGAATCTAGATGCTGACTAGGAAGAGGACAGAATACGAACCGACCAGGGTATTTTAGACATTTCCGATAAGTCGGCCAGGGCATTTTGGGGACTTCAGGTAAATGTTCTACTTCTATATAAAGGAGCTGAGGTAACTCCAAAACCCTAACTCCCATTCATTCCACATCCTCAGAGCAGCTCTTTTCACTCTTTTCACATACTGACTTGAGCGTCGGAGGCTCTACGCCGGAAATCCCTCCGGCGTTGAGTTCTTGCAGGTGTTCTCGCGGTTCGATAGAAATTTGGAGACCATCAAGGCAAATCTGAGTTCGTTCTCATTGGTTCATTCCAGATCCGGGCGATTTTCCACCGGTTCACCACAGATCCGAGAATAGACCCATCATTTGGCGCCGTCTGTGGGGAGATCTTGAAGGAATTAAGAGCTTTACACCTAGATTTGATCTGTCTCCGATGGCTGAGAAGGAAGGATTGCAGAAAAACTTGAACGACGATTTTAGGGCAACGTGGACCGACAAACGACCTCCGCCGATCCCCAGCGTCAGACCACCGCTCCAAGTGCTGGGATTTCCACCGTTCGGGATGCACGCGCCGGCGGGAGGACGTGCGGGAGAAGAAACGCCTATTACCCCACCTGGAGTCAAGATTCCAGTTCTCACCCAGGGGGAGGCCAGTCACGCGAAGGACACGGGTGGAGAAGCGGATGGTCACGCATTGACCGAAACATCTTTTAGATTGGGGAGGCAGACTGAACGACTTGATCAGGAGACAAGGCCACCACCCCAAATCGAAGAACAAACACTGACCATGACGAGAAGCGAGATGCAGAGGATGATTGCCGAAGCTGTAGCAGCCCAAATTAA